TGGGGGAGGAGGATTGTAGTATGAGGCTGAGTTGGGAGGCGGAGGGCAGCCGGAGTAGGAGGGCGGCGGCGGTGTCGGTGGAGGCGGAGAAGGAGGCGGGAGACAGGGGTTGTCACAGGAGTCGCACATTGTGCAGGAAATCGGTTGCGCAGAGGTGATGGAGTTTAGGGAGAGGTTTAGGAGGATGAGGAGTGCTTGGGAGAAGAAGAGGAGCTTCGCCATTTGGTTGAGAGTGGAGATGGGAGAGGATGGTGGGGTGAGGATAAGAAAGCGGTGAGATATAAATAGCGGTGGTAATTTTTTTTTATTAGGGGGAGGTGAGGAGATGGCGGCACTTGCGGTGTAAGTGGGGTAAAAAGAAAAGAGTAGGGCGGGTGAGGGGATGCCTTTTAGTGGAATGGGTGCTTCATGAACAAAAAAATGATTGGAAGTGGTAGCCTTTATTTATGATTACCTTTTTTATTTTTTGATAAATTATGAGGGACTTTATCAATATTATTGAAAACATATAGTAAATTATATCATCAAATTTATAATATAACTCACATTAAAAAAAATTTATAAAGTAGAAGAGAACATCATCAACTGATAAAAGAAAACATAACAGTAAAACGAAAGCCCCAAGATGTTCTTGAGATTACTTTCTATATCTATTTCTATTTTTATTTTAGTCTATTTTATTTTAATTTTATTTTTTTTATTTTTTATTTTTAGAAAACATGTTTAGTTATGATTTATAAGTCTATAAGAAATAAAACATATTTTTTTATTCTTCTAAGAAAAAAAAACTATATTATTATAAAATGGTTGGAACCACGTGCGCTCCACTCCAATATTATGCTCTATCGTTAAAGTCATATACAACGTCTTCTTTGTTCTGCCCAGCACAAAGCGTTACTTGTGGTCAGGCGACGGGCGACAACATCGGGAGGCGGACGACAACAACCGATGGTTAGGAGTGTCAAAAATTGACCAGACACGTCAACACGACTCGAACTCAACTCGAAAAAATTCGGGTTAGGGTTGACCCAAATATTTTTCGAGTATGGTTTGGGTTAGAGAATTCAACTCGTTTATTATTCGGGTTTGGTTCGGGTTGAACCCAAAACCCAAGCATGAAAATTTGGGTTGGGTTCGGGTCTAAGTTTTCAACCTGTTTATTATTTGGGACAGTTTTAGGCTGACCCTATTCATATCGGGTCATTTTCATGTCTGACTCGTACCCGACCCGCCGCTTACCCGAATTGTGACACCTCTACTTGAGGTCGGCGGGACGGGCGACAGTCGGCTGCTAGCTGGGTCGGCAGGCGAGAGGGGCTAACACGGTCGGGCGAGCGGGGTCGCGGGCGGGTGATGAGGGCAATCGACAAGTGGGGGCCGACAACGTTCAACGGCCTACTATGGCGGCGTTGAGCTGTGGGACTCGTTTTCAGTGTTTTAAAAATAGACAAAAATAAGTTTTTTTTTCTATTTTGAATATTTTAAAAATAAAAGTTTTTATTCATAAAATATAAAAAATGGATATAAAATAAAAACCAATAAGCAAATACAGTTTTTTTTTTTTTGTTTGTTTCCATTTTTTTTTTCCAAAAATCAATAACAAAAAAAAAAATTTGAGCTCAAACAATCCTTTAACAAATGCAAAGAGGACTTTTCCAGCATCAGAACCAACAATAATTTTAAAAGCCCACAGATCTCTGAGCCTGAGCTTATAGATCACTTGCTAGAAGATATTAACATCCGAAATTTAGAATATATAAAAATAGATTCTGAAATTGGTTGAATTTTGAAAAAGTTGGAATTCATCGATGCTCGGTAATCAGTCTCAGCAATTCAAAAAGATTAAGAAAGAAAACAAACCTATCAATAAGCCAACAACATTAATGAAATGAATCAACTACAGAGCTTCAAACCAGAAAAAACAGCCCATTGAAGTAAAAGCAATAAAAAAAATCAATAAACACCTAAACAGAATAAAACCACATCAAACTCAAATGCCAAAGACTATAACCAAAACAAATACACAAGGAGAAATAAGAACCAACAAGCCAACTAGCAGAAACATGAGAGACAACTAGCATAAATCTAACAAGCAAAACCAAGGACTAACAGTCAACACAAGGAGATCAATCTATTGGAAATCAAAAGAAATCACTAGGTGAGCACTCACAAAACCTTCCAAAATTATGAATAATGAATGTTCACATTAGCTGTATTAAAATGCAACACACCTCCAAGAAAAAGCTATAGAAAAGAACAGATAAAAAACTATCTATACCAAATCAAGCAAAAATAAAAAGTCAACCGAAAGATAGAAATAACGCCAGAGCTTCAAACCTTACAAAAGTAACCCAAATAAACAAAAGCCAACCACAAAAACAGCCAAAACCATAATAAAAAAGATCCCAACAAACTAGAATATCCACATTGAAACTCAAAAATTGCAAAAGAAAAGCCTGAAAGCATAGAACAAAAAGTAATACAAAAAAGAGAATAAAAAACAACATCTAATAACAAAACAAAACAATCAAAAGACTATAGGAGAGCATCCAAAATACCATCAAAATTATAAATAATGTATTCACAGTGGTTGCATTAAAATGCAAAACACCAACAAGTCAGAAAGCCATATAAAAGAGCGAATATAAAAAAACCAACTAAAAACCAAAAAATTATAAACATGAACAAAAGAGCAATAACAAATCAAAGAAATAGAAAACAAGACGACACTAAGAAGGAAAAATAAGACCATACAAATAACAAAATCAGAAGAAAAAAAAATAAAAAAGATCAAAATTATGAAATTATGAAATAAGACCACAAAAAAAAAAAATTTGAGTTAGTTAAATAAGGTTAGTTTTATAATTATCCCCGTAATTAAGAAATTATCTGAATAATTAAATCTTAAACTTAATTTAGGTCTAACCCAATTTGGACCTAACTTAATTTAGGTCTAACCCAACATAGACTCAACTTAATTTAAACTTTAAACTTAACTCAAGTCTAATCCAACTTAGACTTAGACTTAACCAAATCATAAACTTAAACTAAAACTAAACATACGTCTAACCTAACTTAGACCTAACCATAAACCCAACTTTAAACACAACATAGACCTTAACTGACTTACCTAAATCTAAACTCAGTTCAAGTCTAACCTAACTACACTTAAACTTACATCAAGTTTAATTTAACTTAAACTTGAATTAACCAAATTCTAAACTTAACTTAGACCCGACTCAACTCAAAGTAAACTTAAACAAACCAGGGTCAACTAAACCTAACATGGGCTAACCCAAATCAAATGTAATCAAACCAGGGTTAATGGGCTAACCCAAAATCGAACTTCATCAAACTAGGGTTAACCCGACTTGACCTGTGTTAGCCCAAAATCAAACATAAACAAATCAGGGCCAACCCAACCTAACCCGGGCTAACCCAAGTTAAAATTAATCAATCCTGAGTCAACTCGGCCTAACTTGAGCTAAGCCAAAATCAAGCTTAAGCAAACCTGTGTCATCTTCGCCTAACCCGGGCTAACCCAAATCAAACTTAAGTAAACTTGGGTCAAATTAGCCTAACTTGGGCTAACCCCAATCAAATTAAATCCAACTTAGGCCGACCCAGATCACCATAAGCTAATTCGAGCTAACCTTAGTTAACATGTACCAACCTCAAAATTAACAACAATAAACCAAGCTAAGGAGTGTTTAACCTCTCATAAGAGAATAAAAGCACACTTGACTTAAAAATACACTCTAGAGACACAATGAGCTGAAATGCAAAGTTTGTAATAAACATAAGAGATATAACATAAAATACAACCTAAAAATCATTAAAACTTAAACTTCAACTATAATGCACAACCCAATTTGAGAAGGAACTTCAGAGGAGGCAACTGATGGCTGCTAACAAAACACCTTCCAATCACTCATGACTAAACGGACCACAAAACTAATGAGCCCAAGAGGACGGAACTATGCTAGGTCATTTTAACATAAAAAATAAAATAAAAATAAAAGATAAAGAAAATTTAATCAGCTAAGAAGTCTTCAATAACCTAAAATTTTTAACCCCCCCTAAAATCTAAAAAAAACACCAAAACTTAAATGAAACTTTAATTAACAAAGATCACAAAATACAACTTTAACCTTGCTACATGTATCTATGAAGATCTCTTGTATGACGCAACTAACGGTTGTTGACAAGAATCTTTCGATTAGAGTATGCTTGACCACCTCTCTGGACTAAGTATATCAAAGAACATGGCAATCCCAGAACAATGGAAAGCTATGAGCATCTTGACCGTTTGATTAAAATAAAAAGAATAATAATAACACACTAATGATCAAAGTAAACACATTTATCTTTCTTACATTAAAATGAAATATTCTAGCTTTATTTTACAGGGCATCTTGACCGTGTTGATTAAAATAAAAAGAACAATAATAACACACTAATGGTCAAAGTAAATACATTTATCTTTCTAACATTAAAATGAAGTATTCTAGCATATTATTTTGCAGGGTTAATAAAGACAAAATACAAAATAATGTCTTAGATGTTACTAGGGTATGCTAACTTTATTCTGTAGGGCTAATATAAATAAGTAAGCATTTGTAGTAACCTAAGATCTTTTCTTTGAGCCTTCTTTTCTTTTATAGAGTTAAGAAGTGTTATGTTCATTTGACTATAAACATTCAAACTATCCAAAAGAAGAAGAAACATGAAGTGAAGGGTGAACCTCAACTAAAAACATCAATACTTGTTCGGATGATGCTAGTTGACGAGTCAGATATAAGTTTGGGTTGGCACCCAAGTCATCAGTTTATCTATATTCATTTGATAGATTAGCCCAAATTATATGTTGATATTTATATTTCTGCCTTTTACCTGGATCACAGATAGGCTCGCCTAAGGAATAAACCTTCTACCCCAACCTAAATAACCTAACTTAAACTTTTAAAATAAA